AGCTGATGGCAAGGGGGCGGTGGATATTTGTGGCGGTCAATGTGGATATTGTGGATGAGTTCTTCTGTGTCATCATGTTCTATTAGTTCTACAGCTTCAGTTTCGGAACTTTCATGCTTAGTAACACATACAGCTGTTCCCTCCCCACAGTGCGACAGTGAAAAGGGACCCCTTTCAAACAGTGTTGCGTTCCGAACGTTGTTTAAGCGACATACACCGGTATTGCGGTATTTTAAAAAGTCATATCATAACAAAAATAAACACCGGTATTCGGTATGAACCGGTATACCGCCCAGCACTACTAAATAGGCAAAACAGTGTCAGTGTTATTTAAATTCGAATTACAAGCTCAATATCTAAGTATAAAGCAGCTATCCAGTGTGTTCGTGTTTTTACTCGTGCCTGACCTCAACTGAACAGAAAAAATAAACCAGAGAAGATTTACATGCCGAAGGAGGCGGGGCCTTGGAGCCACACCCACCTATTACATAATCACCATGGACCAATGGTAGTTTATTTTCTGAAGAAAATGTGTGGAGCTTGTCTATGCAAAAGCCACTGGCTAAGGTGTTCTTAGTGTTTTTGGTAGCCTTTTTAATGGCCCTCACTGTTTCAATAATTTTTGGCACCATCTGTGTGTATGAACCCCCTCAACTCTCCCCGCCATCTGCCCTGATGCAGCCTCAGTGTGAACGCAGCCAACAGGCTCAGCCTCCTGCCTCCTCCAGACTCAAGATCTGTCTGCTCAGCTGCTAGATCACTTATCACCTCCTGTTTGAGTCCTTCCCCTTTGCGTTTTCATGCATGTTTACTTTCTGTCCCTTATAGAAATCTTGATATCGTCAACTTGCAGTTCTAGGCTCATGAAAGTCTGAAGAACATCTGTGTACACCAATCGGTGTTAAATGTTCACATCTATTATCTCAAACACTAGGGATCATTACGTTGAATTATTCCATCTGTTTGGACATAGGCATGCAGTGCTTCAGTAAAAACATTGCTTCAGATTATTTAAATCCTCTTTCCCAAAATCTTTGTAGATGTCTGTGGTCTCTAATATGTTTTGTGTTGCTCCCTCGAGTGAAGCACTTTTGTAGTTGCCTAAAGATGTATTGATGAAATGGGATAGACTTTCAAGAAAAACTCAATTATAGCAAATTGTTTGAGATTGTATTACATGTCTGAATACTGTTATCAATTATTAACGTGTACATCCTTCTCAGTGAGTTGTTTGTCTTAAACGAGTGCTGCTTTATCTGTGGAATTATGGATAATTTGGCCTGAATGTGATGTGAGGTAGAATCTTCTAAAAAGGCAGATAAGTGTTTCTATTTTATATTCTATTTTAGGGATGTGCAAAATATACAACTATTTAAAAGTTTGGGTCAGTTAGTTTAGGTCAGTAAAAATTTAAAAAAAAAATAATAATAATAATAAAGCATTTATTTGTTTAAACAAATACAATAAAAACAATAATATTGGGAAAGAGTGTTACAGTTTAAAATAACTGTTTTGTATTTTAATTAAATTTGTATTTTTATTTCTGTGATGATTTTATTTCAGTCTTCATTGTCATATGATCCTTCACAAATCATTCTAATATGCTGATTTGATGCTCAGGATACATTTTACCAATGATACAGTTGAGATGCTTAATATTTTTGTGGAAACAGTTTGTTTATTCTTCATGTTTGTTTGATAGAATAGAAAGTTCAAAAGAAGAGCATTTATTTGAATATAAATAATTTGTAACATTATAAATGTCTTTACTGTCACTTTTGATACATTTAAAAAAAAAACTGACCCCAAACTTTTGAATAGTAACATATATTTTCAAAATCAGTTAGTCTGCTGCTGAAAGAATGAGTCAAATTATGGTTTTAGGGAAGCCCTGTATAATTAGCCAGATTTTGTGTTTGCTTGACCCCAAGTAAACACGTGTCCATAAGACATGTCCTTGAGCTTAAAATGGCTAGTTGAAGCAGAACATAAGTGAATCTCGCAACACATTTTTACGTTTTTTTTTTTTTTTAAAGATTTATTTTTGGCATTTTTGCCTTTATGATAGAACATATCAGAGCTGACAGAAAGCAAAGTAGGAGAGAGAGAGAGAGAAGGGGGGGATTGGGAAAGGTCCTTGAGTCGGGATTCGAACTCGGGATGCCAGTAGCGCAACCTGTGCTGCCCACAAGGCTATCGGTGCCAACAACACATTTTTAAGTTTTACTGGTTTTTTTTTTTTTTAAGTTGGCACAATGTCTTAAAAACACAGAACTCATGACGTTCTCATGATGCTCAAAATGGTTTAAAACAACACAATAGATCGTATCCTGGGTAGACGGTAGAGCTGCACGATTCTGGATAAATTGAGAATAACGATCTTTTTTTGTCTCAAATAGAGATCACGATTCTCCCCCGATTCTGAACTTAACAAAATATTGTATAATTTACTAGAGGCTGTTACAAAATATTAATTCCTGCAGTCTGTTTAAAAGTGTCTGTTTATATTAATTTGCATGAATTATTAAAAAGTTAAATATAATGTACATTTAAAATATATTTAATAAACCAATTTTAACATAAAAATTATGAAAAATTGGTTTGAATGAATGATTCAATGACTCACTCATAAATACTTCACTTGTTTCATTACTGGATGAATAAGCATTTTTGAACTAATCGCTTGAATGAATGATTCAATGACAAATAGTTTTTTAAGTCACTTGTCACCACCTAGTGGCAAAACAATGTAATCGACACAAACGGTATTTGAAGCTCCAATTACTTTCAAAAAGTGATTTGCACTATTTTGATCGCTACCATAGACATCATTGTTTATATCCGAACTATAAACTTTCATTCCAGTATTTATGTGATTTTATGAATGATTGTAAGACAGAAATAATACCTTATGTTTGAAAAGACTGTTTGTGAGCGGAAGTGCGAACGCAGATTTGAATGTTCTGAAAGTCTTCAATTCAGTATGCTACCATGTGGCATGTTCACTTGTGTTCGAACAGCTACAGCAACTATGAAAAAATCTTTCTTTTTGATCACATCGAACATCTCAGACAGCCACATCAAACCTGAGATTCAGATCCAGTGTGGCTTTGTTTACATTACATAACACGATTCCTACAGTCTTATCAACATTCATTGCATATGCATCGACTCACGAGAGACCTGCAGATACCCGCCCCTAATCAACACCTAGGAGCCTGCCAAACAGAGCGTTTTTTCTAGCGCCTACATTCGTTGTGCTCTCTTGATGCCTCACAGGTGGTGTTTTCAAAGTCACTCTTAAATATATCTTTTAGCAGCGAATTTCCATTTTAAACAGCCCTCTCTTTTTACTTCACCAACAAAAGGCAAATATTTTTCATCATGAATAATCCATGGCAAAGGCCGTCTGTCCGTAGGTTGCGTGGGCTACAGATGATTGAACTTTGCGTACAGTCAGAATGAGTAATTTGAAGGCAGTTGGTGATGTGAGACGGAAGGTTGGTCCTCTCTTGTTCGTGGGCAGATTGCACAGAGAATTCTGACTAGGACAGTAGAAGGGAATCCCTATGGCAACCAGACCCGTTCCTGCAGGAGGTTGTTCAAGTGGAAACCTTGTTCTGCTTTCTTTGTGTTTATAATGTGCTGTAAAGTGATATTATGGTATCGCTTACCCATGCATGCGTGACCACAAAATATAATTCTTCAACCTCAATTTACCAGAATTGTGCATGCGTTTTGGTCACAGTTACTTGCTAAGGCAGGCATCACTAATACTGTTCTCAAGCTTAGGGTATATGAATTTGAACAAGCCTGCAATACAAAAAAAATCTAATCTAATTTTTCAATGCAATTAAATAAAACCTTTTAATTTTAATTTAAAA